TATCAGTAATAATAACGTATCAGTGTTGACGTATTTATTTATTTATATCAAATACTTACTGTGACGCAATTCGCATTATTTTTAAACTTAGGGAAATGACATAATTATATGTAAGAGGGTAGTAGTCGAAAATATTTTAATACGGTGATTATTTTAACATAGATTTCCATTTACGTAGTCTATTTAAATATGCAAGTGTATTATTTTTTTTTAACAGACTTGGTATAACGTAAAAATTGTCAATGAGCTGGTACAATACGGTGTGAATGCGTTCCCTCAACCGATGGGCCAGTGACATTTTTATTGGGCGATGATTTAGTAGCTATCGATTGTGGCCCCACTATTCATTCGAAGGGAAAAATATTATTTAAGATCCCTTATTTATAGGCACCTGCCAGAACCTGCTAATGACTTTAGGGAAAAAAGTCATAATGTTGTAAAAAAATAATTTTCAAACTGCTCAAAATTGCTATAAAAACTTAATATAAATCTCGAGTATTCAAATGAATAAAATTTGCGTTTAAAACTGTTTATTGATTCATTCGGAAATGGAATAAATTACTTCATTTATAAACAAATTGTTAACATTAGAGAACAAAAATACAGATTCCGATGTTTTTATCGTATTATTTCGTGTAGATTTTAAAGATTGAATTTTTTTATATTATCATCTGTTGAGGTTTCGATTTCAAGCAAAAATATCCTAATTTATAGAACAAAAAACTAATTTACCAACAAATAAAGACGTTTAAAAATCGAATGCGAAAAATAAATTTAAAAAATCAATTAAGTATACAGAGAGAGTACAATCGCCGATATTCACGACACGCAGAACTAAAAAAAGGTTTCAAGTAAAAAAAATAATTAATTAAAAGTTTTCAGCGTTGGGTTTTCAGGACGGGGACTGATGAGCGGGTGGGCGTTCGCCCCGCCTACTGAAAAGCGACGCCCAGCCGCACTGTAAAGCGACCTCCTACCTCAACACATCCAGGAGCTAGATACAACAAAAAAATATTAACCTTTATTTTTTTAAATATAACTTTGTTCAGGAAAAATCTTTTATAGTCACTTTAAGGTGGCATTTAAGCATGTTTTAAGGTTTCGGATTAGGTAAAGACGAAAAAATATATTTATTTGATCAACAAAAAATACCATTCTGTATCTACCACATTACCTAGTTTGTAATAAACTTTTTGTAGAATAATGTGACATTAAAAAAAAATAAGGTATATCAATCGATTTTCTGTGTACGATACCCCAAAGCTGATTATTTTTTCGAGAATATTTTTCTCAAAAATATGTTTAAAATGGTTAGGATAATCGTTTAAATTACATTTTTACTAGTAATAAAACATGTTGAAGTCGTTATAATAAAATTAATTAGTCATTAAGATTATCTGATTGTGGAAGAATAACGAAATCTAAGGAACTGATCCCTTTGAAAAACACATACTTCAAATAAAAATAACCTTCTAAAATTTATTCACACATTTTAAGGTAATTAACAAAATATATTCTTTATGTAACCCATTAAGACATATATTATTATAATTCTCAATTTAAAAAAATACAAAAATATGTCAAAATCTATGGTGATACATCATTTCTTTCCTCATTTTACACTATTTAAAAGTAAATTAATTATCATTTTATTATTCATACATATCCGTTCCTATAGTAATTATAAAAATTGAGATTGTGATAAAACGAATATTTCAAAAATGTTAATTAACGATCATTCGGTTGTAAAAAAAAAGATTTAAAGCCATTATTCTAATCGATTACCCTGATCAAAAATTTTGACCATCAAAATGGACCCAAAAAATTCTTCTTATACCAAAATACAACTACTATTTATAGGAACCGACATTCCTTCCTACATATTGACTAAAAAAACATTGATTTTATTTTTTATATCTAAGTTAAGAAAATCTCAATATTTATAATTCTAGCAACTAGATATATAAGAATTACAAGTGAGTAAGATAGAGAATAAAAAAGCAGTAAAAAAACGTCTAAACGTCAGTAAAAAAAATCTACGGTTAACGGATAAAAAATATTTTAAGATGGCGCCTATCTTTTCTACCCTAGCTCTCGTCCTAGGCTTTAATGGCGCAGAAATCGTGATATAACCGAGCTCCTCTGGTTCGGACAATAAACTCTATACTTTCGTATTATACGACTCGCAACTATCGCGGTATTACTACCTCCCCAATGGGGGGAACAGTTTTTCTACCTTTCAGCATGGTAATACCATAGTATGCTTTATCGTTCAGTTTCAGTTTTGTGGTGAGAATTGTTCAGTGGAAACTTTTATTTGAATATAACGTACTAAAATGGAATTGTTTTAACGGTTTTTTTTTTATATTTGTAGTTAGGTTTTTGGTTTGTGTGTATTGTTTTTTTTGTAGCGTTCGAATCGAACTAGTGTAGAATTTTAAATATTTAATTTTTTATTGGAATTCTCATAAATGTTGCATCCCTAGATGCAAATTGTATGTAAAGTGATGTGATACAAGAGAGAGTACCGTATATGTTCGGATGAAAATGATTAACGACTGATTTTAATATCCTACAGATTTGCTCACTAATAATAGAATTTGTGTATAATTATAAATTTGAAATCGCCAACCCGCATTGAGCAAGCGTGGTGATCAATGCTCAAACCTTCTCAGTGTGAGAAGAGGCCTTTGCTCAGCAGTGGGCAGTTATAGGCTGATGATGATGATGATGAATAGAATTTGAGATAAGCGATTCTGATAGAATGTATACCCAATGTGTGTAAAAAGTGTGTCTAATAGAATTTATACAAAATGTGTGTAATCGTTGTGTCGTATGGTATAGAATGATCTATATCTAGATAGAAATAGATAGACATAAAAGAAGTTATCACTATAGGGCTGGGATTGCGGGTCAAGCGCAATAACACACGGCGATCCCAGCCTATGAAGGAGGAACGAGTTGGATTTTAGTCAGTAAGAGTCTGTCACGCCACACCCAAGGCGGAAGAAAACGCTCTCAAAAACAGAAATTTTGATGAGCACTACCTGATTTCACATCAAGAATGAACTTGTTGTCGATACAAAATAAATTAAAATACCTAATAATCTATAGAAACCTTGCAAAAAGCACCCCAAATGACACAGTAAAAGAGTAAAAATATATGCAACTAATGACAAATGAGTTTTAAGACATAAAACGGGTTTTATTGCTATTGTTAACGGTAATGGACGGTCCAGAATTGTCCTGACGGAAGCAGTTTCTTTACGATTCCCAAGATTAGATGGAAAACACGTTTATTGGACAATTAATTTTGATTCGTATTACCTTCTGTGTTTACCTGTGATGTTATGATGAGCTAAAACGTTCTTTAATATGGTTTTATAATTTTTAGTTTGTTAGGTAATCTTTCTTTTTCAGAGGTGAAAATCATAAAATTACTCCGCTAGCCCTGCATGGGGCGAGAGGGAATATCAGACTCTTACTGATTAAAACCCACCCCACATATTTTCCTAACCGAAGTTCGATCATTCTTTCTTCAGGTCAGGGCCACGGTACATCGAGAGATGATCTCCGGCCACCGTAAGCGCGGGTTTGCGGACGGCGAGTAAGGGTAGCTCGCCGCTCGACCAGAACCAGACCCGAGGGTACAGCGCGTAGCGTTCCGCGCGCTCCTCAAAGAGCCAATGGACCACCATAGACGGGGCCGTATAGGGCTGATGTTCAGCCGGGGTTGCGGGTTAAGCGCAATGAATCACCGCGGCCTCGGCCCATAGCAGGAGATGGAACGGGGGTTTAGTAAGTAAGAGTCTGACACTCCCTCCCTTCCTGGGCGGGAGAGGTCATTTGATGATGTTCCTAGTTTTTTAACTTCATGCTGAGCCACTTACGAATAAAGAACATGCACACATATAAGCAATATATCATACAATTTTAAAAATAAATCAATGAGAAGTAGCTCATTGATTTATTTTTACTTACAACCGCTTGTGTACATAAAAGCTTAGAAGAGATTTTAAATATGAAGTGATCTGGCATACAAATAAGGGCTGCTGAGCCCTCAGACGGGGTATTAGCGTGAAGGTTCAGTGTCAACATACCAAGGGAATCGTCTCAATGGAAACATTAAAGGCTTAAATAGACAAAATGCGTATGCATAAACATAGTCATAATATATATGAATTAGCGACCCGTCCTGGTTGAAATATGCTGATACTAAATTTCTCCACTATTTAATGGATGTTATGATCCCTGTACTTCTATGTATACTTAAATCTTTAAAACTAGACAATGGTCTTTTTTGTGAGGGGAAAATCATCAAGTGAATTCTCTCGCCCAGGGCCGGGCAGGAGGGAGTGTCAGACTCTTACTGACAAAAAACTTCTCTGTTCCTTCTCCTGCTCTGGGCCGAGGTCGCGGTGCCTCATTGCGCTTACCCCGCAACCCCGGCTGAACATCAGCTCTATAGAGCCCCGTCTGTGGTGGTCTATTGGCTCTTTGAGGCGCGCGCGGAACGCTACGCGCCGTACGCTCGGGCCTGGTTCTGGTCGGGGGGCGAGCTGCCCTTACTCGCCGACCGCAGACCCGCGTACACAATGGTCTATGATGCATTTTTTTTTAAATCGATTGAAGAGGATCGTTTATACGTATAATGACATCCATTAAGTAGAGGAGATATTTGGCGGGTTGCTTGTAACTGCTAATTTATATCTTCGCGTACACATTCGGTCTACTCAAGCCTTAAGTCTTAGGTTTAGGCTAACACACACGCGTGGTGCGTCGAGAGTTTGCCGTACATTGCCGCAGGAGATCGCGAAATTGCCCACGCAAATACAAACATATGAACATAACGAGCAATGTATCATGAACCGAACGACGCATCGCGCTACACGATGCCTTAGAGCGACTACGTGGTATTACATGATAGGGAGGTTAATGTTTGCCAAACTATTGAAGATAGTCAGTTAGAATAATAAATGTATGTACGGAAAAGGCCTTACCACTGGAGGTAGTTGCACCATTGGTGTCTGAAACAAAAAAAAACAATTTTGTAAAGAAAACAGTAAAAACTCTAAAAGACTTATAACGTTAAAACCTCCTGCATTTTTATAATTATATTTTAATAAAGTCACTAACTGAAATTTGTTTTCAGTTTCATTTCAATTACAATGCATACGTCATTAGGTTTGTTTCGTAGCCCGTAGCCAAATCGTAGCGGGGACCGTTCGTAGCATCTCGTAGTCAGTTCGTAGCCATTACTTCTACTAATATCAGACTGCTTACAGCCTTATAATTATAAAAAGCATTATTATAGTTACATTGTATTTACTTCTAATGAAAATATGATTTTGATCTTCGGAAGGGTAAGCAGGAGTCTGTCTACGAATAAGATATTATAAACTACAGCCTCATGCACAGTTTGTCTCACTCTGCTCGGCTTCTGTTGGCCGTATTGTGATGAAATTTAAAAAAAAAAGACAAATTGATTGTACAATGTTAAAATAATGGAACCGGCAGTTTAGGAGATTTACGTGTGAAATCATACAAACATGTCTTCAGCGTTATAATATTACTAGCGCTACTCGCGCGGTTTCACTTTCTCGTCGGCTACCACAGATCTTAGCGTAATGTTTTGTAGTCGTCCTCAATTAATGCACTAACAAATACAAAAGAATTGTTTTATTCGAACCAGTAGTTCCAGAGATTTGCGCGTTCAAACAAACAAGTTCTACAGCTTTACAATAATATTGTAAAGCTTGCTTTATATTACTAAGTATAGATATAGAATATATTATTATAAAAGTAAGTTATTAAGTGACACCTATTTTTCGCCAGTGTACATTATTGACTTACATGCCATAAGTATTATTTTTATTCACCATATCAAACTCTTTGCTACTTACTCCTTTCATATTGCAACCTTTAACCACAGAGGTCAACATAAACATTTTTCACTTCTACCCTTGTCTCCTGAGACCATCTAAAAAGCCTATAACCTAAAATCTCGAAATAAATTCATCAACCAAGCTGTACCTAGGTATAAATCTGTCAAATTCTTTATCTTCAAGACACAGGCAGTCTTGTTAGACGACCGAAAGGCTTTGAAATAGTAACAGTTTTTTTTTTGAAATCTAGCTTTTACCCGCGTCTTTGCTCCAGTCGTTTGACTAACTACACTATCTACCCTACTTTATCTACCCTGCCTTACCCTACACCTATCTTCTTCATCTGTTTTTTTTTTAATCTTCCTCCTGTGTCGTGGGGCGGTCACAAACATACAATTTCACATACACATCGCACTCAGACCCGGAACAACCATATGTAGCTCACACAAAGAGTTGTTCAGTGCGGGTATCGAACCCGCGACACGTTGCTTGGCAGCCAGTTGCCCAGCCAACGTGCCAATTGTGCAGTCGAAAGTACATCCAGACATAAAAAAGTCTTACTAAATAAAGCGTTGTTTAACTTTATGACATTAAGTTTTGCGTTCATTTTATTACACTATATAGGTATATGTTATGTGGTAATATTCCATTAAAATGCCAACAGAAGTACTTAACACTGAAGGCCGCTGAAATGTGTCACATTTGTTTACAGGAACTAAACTTATCAACAATATTCAATAACCTACACGGACCAGATTAGATTACCTTAAACTTTATCAGTTCTATTTAAAATTGACATAATATATCGCTGGTTACATCAAATGGAGTAAGTAGAAGTGTTAGAGATCCAAGCTTCGCTTTGAATGGGCCTTGACCGGAGTGATATCACGACCTCATAATAAACCGGCGTGAAACTACCACGATGAGGTTCCATGTGAATGAGGTTGCCGAAGGCGCAATCCTTGCCCAATTTCTAAATCACCGAAACCCCAATCCCCAAATGCCGGCAATGCATTCGTAACTACACTGGTGCTATAAGTCTCTATGGACGGCGCCGATTTAGCCAGTTTGTTTGCCGACCTATCTCTAAAAAAAGGAGAATTTTTGTAGTTAGGTTACACATCCTCATCAAAAGCATCTGTAAAAGTCCACTGCTTTTTTTGGAGGGGAAATACCATCCAAATCATTCTGCCGCCCTAAATCTAGGGAGAAGGATTGTCAGAGTGTCAGACTGATTATTAAAGCCACCCCGTTCCTTCTTCTGCTACTACTGGACTATAAGCGACCTCTACATTCAATTGAGATTCGGGTTTAAAAGGTTCAAGTTTATCAAAGAGCGCTGTTAACCCCGTGTCTGTCTGAAAAATGTGTAGTTCTTTTTTGTCAAATTACTGACACAACAGATTTTACTTTTTTATGGAATAGGAGGCAAACGAGCAGACGGATCACCTAATGGTAGGTGATCTGCGCCGCCGATGGACACTTTCTGCATCATAAGAATCACAATCGTGTTGTGGGACTTTTAAGGAGTACGCACGCTTCTAGAAAATAGTATTCTTGCATATTAAAATGAATCGTTAAATCTGTTGCTAATCTCGAGAACGGTTGAACCGATTTCGATACATTTTGTTTTTTTTATCTTATGAAAATAAAGGAAGGTAGGTAGGTCATATGTTAAGGGATATAATGAGCTAAGTAAGGTAGAGTATGGTATAGGAGTGAAGCCTCAAGTTTTAGCTAGTTTGACAATGCATTCCCATATGGATATGATATTTATAGCCAGTCTTACACAGGGTTAGGTAGAGAAAAAAAGCGATTGTCGCTTCATCAGCTTATTTGCGAAAGCTATCTAGTTATGGGAACCTTCAGTTTAAGCCATCACCAATTTGATCGATAACCGTCCTCTTTGAGTTCCCTCTCTGTCTTTCATTTCAATTCTTTATCTCACTGTAATTTGTTTCTCACTTTCTTCTCTTTTTAAATATTCAAAATATTTCATGTTAAGAAGGAAAAAGACTATGAATAATTAAATGACCGATTATAAACTAACTCAAATATATGTAGATACCTACCGACCTATACCGACCACCGGGGTGATTCTTATTTTTCAAAATGGCGCTTGTTAGCGATTTCTTTTCTTAGCTCAAGAAGCTGGTTTTTCACATGATGATAAAGAATTTGATTCTTGCAGCAATAAAAAAGGTACAAATGAATTGGCGATCTTCAAAGAGATTATACATCTACGCTGATGGGCCAAATCAAAAAAGTAAAAAATGAATTGCAATTTAATTATAAAATTATTTATGTAGGTCGAAATTTATATCCAAAGCTGCAAGTTTTAGTCCACGCGAACTAATAAATCCTTGACCCTACAATATAATGATAACATTATATGCTGACTTACAAACATACCTATATTTTTTTCACCACAAAGATCTCTTTGAGCTGGTACATTAATAAATAAATGCGTCATTGATGTACTTTGTATGAGTTACGTCTTTCCTCTGGATTTACTTGGAATGTTGAAATAATATTAAGCTTACTCTCGAAACTGTTCGAGGATGCTCGACTATTTTCCAGCTGCTGCCCGAGCTAATAATTATGGATATTAATCAATCGTGATAAATTATTGTGACATATTCAATTATTAATTTAGTTTAAAAAATATCTGTATTATGTGATTTTATTAAGAATACGGCCCATACATAAAAATTATATATTTAGAAAAGTTAATTATAAACTGGGAAGGATATACATAAGTTACCTAACTACACAATAATAGCCTACCCATATTGTATTTACTTTTAGGAAAATAAGTTTCTTAAATACTGAGCCAAACACGTATTGGACAAATGTTTATAGCGTTTATAAACGATCAGACAGATTACCTGACGGAAGCAATCGGCGCTGCCCATGGAAGCTCATCGCACCATAGAAGTAACAAGTGGTGCATTGTCGGCCTTTGGAGGGCTTTGAAGATTAGAGATTTGGTAGTTGGCGATTAGAGAGAGGTAAAAAATCTTGCTTCCACTATTTTTAGTTAGTTTAATCCAGTTTTCTGTGAGGCCGTGGTATCACTTCAATTGCGTTAACCTATTCTTGTCGAAATTGTATTAAGAAGCATCTCGCCAACAATTTTTGCAAACATAAACCGTACAAGCGGACACAATAATTAGCAAGTATAGCTGTAGATAATAAATATGTAGTTTATAGATAGTTCTGTTGTTTTTGTTTGCCTGTGTTATCGTGGCCTGTGATAGGCTCTTCTGTAAATAAAGATAACCACTACTCATACTGATAACGATTGAAATCATGTACACTAGCAACAGCTTACTGGTTTACTCGCAAAATTAAAAAATAAAAGATTAGACGTTTCAGAGGACATTTTTTAGTGAGAGGAAAATCATTAGATGATTTCTCCCACCTAGAGTGGGGCGATCATCAAGCTTGCTCAATGCGGGTAGGCGATTTCAAACTAATAATTTGAAATTATAAGTCCAGGTTTCCTCACGATGTTTACCTTCACCGTATGTCAGTGGTGTCTAAATAATCATAGAAAGTACATATAACTCGGAAAAAGTCACATTGGTTCTTGCCAGGTTTCGAATCCACAACCTCATGCATGAGAAGCGGGTTCCTTATCCTACGGGCCACCACGACACAGACTCTCCTCTTCTGTCAGACCCTTACTGACTAAAACACCCGTTCCTTCTTGCTCTAGGCCGAGGCCGCGGTCCCTTATTGCGCTTGTCCAACAACCTCAGCTGTCATTTGACATTTCGGAGCAGATACATTAACTTCTATGTAATTTGAGTACCTAACATTAAAATTGTTTTTTTTTCTACCCTGTTCTGAATATATAGATCTACAATTGTAATTTATAACTCAATCGAAACAAGTATAAGAAACATGTTTTAAACTAATTATTAACTGTTTTTTTCTCACTACATTTCTTCAACAATACTTTTTATGGGATAGGGAAAAAATAGACCACTTAAAACAAATATTTATTAAAATTACTCTAAAATTACATTTTTAAATATTACTATAAAATAAAATAAAATAATATTTAAAAATATAAAAGTAGGAGCCAGCTGGCAGCGGGAGCAAGGTCCAAGCTGCCGGCGGTTAGGGCTCCAGAG